TTGATTTTTATATTAAAATTAATTAATTAAATTACAAAATCAATATTTAATATAAAAATTTCTTATTTTTAAAAATAAATCTCAAAATTTATTTATAAAATTATTTAATAAAAAATATTCTTGTATAATTTTAATTTCTACTTTTAATTAAAATTTTAATTATATTATAAATTAGAATTATATATATTATATATTTTTATTATGACTAGAGTTCTATAATGTGAGATATCTAATTTTATAACTTTTAATATAATATTATATTTTTTATTTAGCAAAAAAATTAATAATTAAAGATTTAAAATCATTATTTGAATTAGTTAGATTTAAACTATAATTTAATAAAAAATTTTTTAAAATATTTATTTATTAAGTTATAAAAATTTAAACTTTATTAATTTTATTATAATTATATCTAATTTGATTACTTAATTTTAGTCTGCATTAATAATATATTAAATTTTAAATTTTGATTAATATTAAAAATAATATTATTATAATATAAACTTTTATTATATAGTCAAATTTCTTTATAATTATATCTATTTATAGTTATATTTCTCTATAATCACTTTATTTTGCTTTCCTATTTATATTATTATTGTTTTAATATGACTTTAGATTCTGTTATTAGAGTACATGTGATAGAATCAGATGGAAGAGTTAACGTATTAAGTTGGAAGAGTTTACTAAGTTATCTAAAAGTAGATAATGTATATTCATTTTGTTGATCAGCTAGAATGAGACCAGAAAGATTCAAAAATAATTGTATCTTTTATGATTTGATTTATAATAAGTCAAGTGTTTCTTTTAAGTTTAATTTATAAACAAGTAAAATATAATTTTTTTTATTAATTTAATATTATTATTGACTTCGTAATATAGATGAGAGATCAAATACAAAAATGTATAAGATAATATAGTGATAAAAGATTATAAAATAAATACAAAAATAACTTTGCAATTAAGATGAGAGATTATGAAAATACTATCTAAAGGATTATTAAAAGAATATAAAACTAAACTAAGTTGTTCTGACTTGTTATTTTTCTAAGTTATAATACAAGTTGTATTTATAAATATTTGATAATTATAAAATGATCATTTGAAATGATCATTCAGAGCATTTGAAATGATCATTTGGAATGATCATTCAAAGTATTTGAAATAATCATTTGCAATGATCATTCAGAGCACTTGAGATAATCAGTTGGAATGATCATTTGGAATGATTATTCAAAGTGATGATTATGTAAAATGATCATGTGAAGCGATCACGTGAGATGATCATTTGTGATTATGAAAATATCTAATCACAACAATATATAAATATAATAAAAAATCTCTCTATAGTCATATTTTCTCTATAATTACCAAATTTTACTTTTCTAAGAGTAATAATTATAGAGGAATTTGACTATATTAGTTATTATATATTTTATTAACAATTCATCTTATAATATTATTGAATAATATTTATTAATATCTTATTGGATACTAGCTAAAAAAAGATCTTATTTATTAATATTAGATGATAAAATAAATAATGTGATTATAACAAAGTTAACTTAATGATCCCAGCAAAAATAACACATGAATTATAACTAAACTAACAATATAATTATAATAAAAATAACAATATAATATCAACAAAACAAGCAATTAAATCCCAATAAAAGTAGTAATAGTATTATAATAAAAATAACATTCATAAACTATCAAATATTATAAAAGCAATATACTTAGCTAGTAATTTGAAATAAGTTTCTAGAATATAAGTCTTAGAACTTTAATAATAACTTAATAAAGTTATATTTTGTATTGATTTTAATTTTGAAAAATAGATTGCTTGAAATAATTAATTTGTTATATTTGACTTAAAAGACAATCACTTGAAAGACTTATTGTCTTGGATTATTATCTTTTAAATTATAAAGAACTTAATAAAGTTTAGTGAAGTTATTAAATATCATTCTAGTTACTTCCAATATAAAAACTTAGTCTCTTCCATCTTTAAGTTAATAGAAACACATGAATAATGTGTAAATAACTTAAATCCCACAAAAATGATAACAATATATTAGAGTTTGGCTAGCATTAAGATTAATATTAAATTTTGAACATTAAGAATTTATTGATAATTCAAATTGGATCTTTATGTTGCATAATGAAAATTCGGAATGATCAACATTAGTAAAGTAGATATGGGTATTATGGAGTATTACTAATAGCCTATTATGTAAATACTTATAATTTATAATACATGTCTTTCCATTACGACTTTCAATCGATAAATAAAATATATATATTACTGGCTACAACTTCATCCATTAGAATGACCTTAAATAGAAAAAGTACATATATTACGATACAGAATTGCAGATGCTCCTTCGTTAATAATTGATTATCGTTAGCTACGAAAGTAGGCGTGATAGGCCATCAAACTTCTTTACAAGGCTGGATTCATTCAACTTTGAATATAACCAAAGTTGACTGATCAGATTGTCATAATACAAAAGTGCTTCTTTAGCATTAGTATTTTACGTTAAATCATTATTAGTGATGAGGTGGTTCATTCTCAACTCTCACGCCTTTCATAATAAACCATCCAATTAACAACAGAGAAAAATTCAGACTGAAATTTATAGTAAGCTTATTGATCTGTGAAGTTTCTTTGTATGATTTGCAAGTCAGCATTTTTTAATTAGTCTAATCATGATTATTTTATATATATTGTTAATGCTAAAAATATAAATTCATATAACGTTCTCTTTTTAATGGTATTATTTATACGTGTATATATTTATTAGATAAAAATTGTTAAGATATACTTTAAAATCAAATGAGAATATTTCAAACCTCCTTTAAAGTTGCTATTCAAACATGATAAAGGATCAAACATGATAAAGGAATAATGGTCGCTCAAATAAAATATTTGTTCGTGTTTTTATAATTGATTAAATTATTGAGATTTGGCAGCTGCTGCTTCACGCTCGCGTTTTCGCAATGCACGTTTCCTGATATCAACTTGATGTGCTATTGTTATAATTTAAGTTAATATTATACAAGTGAAAAAATAATAAAATTAATAAGGTAACAAAATAAAAAAACTAAGTACCGAAATTTCGTCGCAACCAGAAATGCATGTCAAACGTGTAAGAAATAAGCCAATTAACAAGCGCATGTGACGGATAAGGATTCGATCCGAATGGGATAGCACTAGCGCCACCAGATACGCCAATTTTTGACAGTACCGCTTTTACGTATGGCTTCGGGTATGGGATGAGCCATGTTGCACGTCGAACTTTTGACATGGCTGTGGCCTGTTAAATTAATCAATTAATGATCTATAAATTGAAAAATAACGCAGTTAAATCTAGTAATCGGAGGATGTACTTGCCACGAAATATGTATTTAGACATTCAACCGTAATCCCACTAGATTTCAATTCCATTCCAAGTGCTGCCGACCACGTACTCAAAAAAGCTTTAGACCCCGAATAGACGGATAAATATGGTGAAGGAACGTATCCGCTGAACGAACCACAATTAAGTATGAGTCCTCGATTTCTAAATTAATTCATAAATTCAATAATTAAAAATCCTTTAATAAGAAACTCTATAATTCAATAGAAATAAATTTAATACTAACTTGGCTGTCATATTAGGAATAACGATCTTTGTAATCATTAAAACCGATGCGATATTCACCTCAACAATATTACCGATTAATTGATCAGTCTCTAACAGGAACGGGGTCGGGATTTCGTGGTTTGTGGCGACGTTGTTCACCAAAACACCCACGTCGAGTTGCCTAATGATTTCTTTGAGGTTTTCTGGAATACCTTTGCTGAAATCCATTGCGTAGATTTTTGTTTCGACATTGTGTTTTGTCCCTTTTATTATTTTTAATTCGTAACATTACGATGATGATAATGAATAAATGTTTATCGAGGGTGAATGCTGTTATTATTGTTTTTTAATTAGTTAGTTTGTTAAGAGTCTCACCGATTTCGTCTGCAAGCACTTGTAATTTTGATTGTGTACGTGAGATCAAAAGTAGATTGAACCTTGCTTGCGCAAGCTGATACGCGAATTCTTTGCCGATGCCATCAGATGCTCCAGTAATAACTTTTGGAAAATGCAAAATTTATTACTGATGAATTAATTTTGTTATCACAAAACGCAACCAATTTAAAAAAGCTTACTGGCCCATGCTCCTTGTCCTGCACCAAATTTTTTCAGCTTTAAAAATTTAAATTCGATTATTAATAATAAGTATTTTGTAAAGAAACAAATATATATTCAAAAGATACAAAACTGACACTTTTTCCTGGTCGAATATACACATCGAACAGTAGTCTTATAAAACTGAGTATTTTACGCGTTACCACAGACGCACCAACAAGTACGAATAATGCGGCTGCTATCACAGCTTTGTCGTTATCTATTAAAAAATGATTATTATTTTTATTTACTGATTATTGGCAGGAACAGAGTTTACGTAAATTCTATTTTATTTCATTATTAGAACTATTACTTTACACACGAAAAAATACAGTCACATAAGGCGTTGCTTCTTTGAATTACTTACCCTTAAACAACAGAACTACCTTTTCTGAAACAGACATGCTTGAAATTTTTTTGTTATTATTACCACTTACATAAATTAAAACAGCAAAAAAAGAAAATATTTAAAATTTTTGAGTATTGCACGAGATTTCATATGTAAAAATGGTTAGATTGACACGTTTTTTGGCCATTCTAGTTTGTTTTGGCCATTCTAGTTTGTTTTAAGATAACGATAATGAATAATTCGTGATCTCGTGATAGTTGACTAAAAGAAAATTATTAAGATAATTAAGAAGTGTCTGGCACATTTTGATCGTGTTTTAGCATGAGAGGCCTAAATTAATTAAAAAGAAATTTAATTTCATACTATGATGATATCATATTAATTAAACAAAATACCTCATCATCTTCCAAAACTTTACAGTCCCCTCGACAACATCATTTTTTCGAAACTGCGATTCTTTAATCTCCACATGACAAATGGGACAAATCGCCTCCAAAGCAACAATCGATCGCCGAATACACAGTGAACAGAACGAGTGTCCGCAATCAACGAGTACTGGTGTCTCGTAGAAATCCTTGCAGATTGGACATCGTGATAGCGAGTCAAGGTTTCGTAGGTTTGTTTTGGTAAAGTCAGTTGGGTCTGTTATTGTGTTGAGAAAATCATTGTTAATATTATTAGGAAGAGTTATAGTAGAAGATGTACTATCGTTAATATTTTTATTTTTTTTAGTTGAGGTAGCGGTAGACATTTTTGGCATTCAATTTTTGATGGATTTTTTTGTCGTACATGTATTACCGTTACGAAAATACAAAAAAATTTGGTGTATTCGGATTGAATTCTAGCCAATTAAATTGCGATTTTAATTATAGATTTGCAAATCTATGGTTAGAATTCAATCTGAATCCAATAAAATGAGTGTCTCACGTGCTCATTTTCGGCCAACATTAACCCATCTTCCAGCATTAACCCTAACTCTAACTCTAACTCTAATAATATCCAATAAAGCAAGATAGTTACATGTGATATATAATCTGATCCTGAAAAGTTTACGAACAGTGCTTCGGGACAGTGCTGAATCACGTGGTCTTTGACACGAGGAAATAAAAAATGTCAAAATCTAGCTTGAAATACTGTTATTCTAGTTCTTTTAACAGTATTTATATAGCAGAAGATCTTTAATAGGTCTCTTCTTACAGTTATAAGAGGAGATAGTGGAT